AGTAGCTATGTATTTATGTATTTGTTTGTTTGTCTATGCAGTCCTAGGTGCTGGAGATTTTATTTTTTTAAGATAGATTCCCAAAAGTGGGATAGCTTGGGTAATGGGAATGTATGTTTATTTTTTTTTATATTTTTTTTTCAAAAAGACTAGTCTGATTCACCAATGTTTAGTCCCTACTCTGCCTCTCCAGACCTGGATATTATTGCTTCATTTAATTTTTGGCCAATCTGCTGATGATGGGTGCCATTTTATCATTATTCAAATTTGCTTTTCTCTGATCCCTAATTTGAATGTATTTTTATACATGTGCTTGCCCTTTGCATTTTCTCTCTAAATTGCCTGTTTGTATCCTTTCCCTCATTTTCCTTTATTTTTTTTTTAGAAAAAGAATTTAAAAAAGAATTTAAAAAAAGAATTTTTATCAATTCTTTTTATGTTAGGAATATTCTTTTCTAACATGGCATTTGTCTCTTGATTTGCTGATAAATCTTCTGTCACATGCATTATGTATTGTTTAAAAAGGTCTAGGGGAACCTGGGTGGCTCAGTTGGTTAAGCGTCCGACTGAGGCTCAGGTCATGATCTCACAGTTCATGAGTTCGAGCTCCGACTCAGGCTCTGTGCTGATAGCTTGGAGCCTGGAGCCTGCTTCTGATTCTTTGTCTCCCTCTCTCTCTGCCCCTCCCCTGCTCACGCTCTGTCTCTCTCTGTCTCTCAAAAATAAATACAAAAAAAAAAAATTAAAAAAAATGTCTTGAGCCGCTTAGGTGGCTCAGTCAGTTGAGAGTCCAACTTTAGCTTAGCTCATGATCTTCTGGTTCATGAGTTTGAGCCCCGTGTCAGGCTGTCTGCTGTTAGCACAGAGCCCACTTGGATCCTCCGTCCCCCTCTCTCTCTCTGCCCCTCCCCTGCTTATGTGTGTGCATGCCCTCTCTTTCTCTCTCAAAAAGAAACATTTAAAAAAATTATTTTTTTAATTAAAAAACAATGTCTTTTCCCTTAAGACTGTTAGGTTTTCTCCAATCTTACTTAAATAAGAATTTATCACCTCAAGTTACTAATACTCTCCTAGATTTTCTTCTAATACTTTTATTGTCGTATTACTCTAATACATATTTTTGTATATAGTAGGAAGTTGAGAGTGTATGTGCTTTTTCTTCCAGCTGGATAGGTAGTTATAACAGCCCCATTATTTTATATTATTTTATTTTATTTTATTTTATTTTATTTTATTTTATTTTATTTTATTTTTTGAGAGAGAGAGTTAAGATTTTTGTTTTTCAAGACCACAAATAATGAATCTGTGTACTGAGGGAAAAGATCTCTTCTGTATGTTGAGATTACATAATTTTTATACTTTTAACCCCTGTCTTCAATCTTTAAATTTAGAAGCGATTATTGGAAGCCATGGAAACGTGTAATCACTCCCTCAAAAAGGAAGAGAGGAAAAGAAACCAACATAGTGAGTGCCTAATGTGCTGGTATGATAGAGACACAGAGTTCACCTACCCCTCACCATGGCCAGAAAAGTTCCCTGCCATAGAACGTTGTTGCACAAGGTAATGTTATTTGGTAATTTTTCAACAACAGCAATAAGCAGCTCCCCCTGGGGCCTGGGGGAAGCTTTTGAATATATTTGGAGAATTAACAAATAATTTATGATAGCTATAGTCAGTTGATAATGAATTACACCCAACTTGCAAAAGATCATACCATCTCCCTCTCAGAATTGTTTCTGTGGTTCTCTGCTTTGGTCAGATTCTGCTTCTCCCTTTCTGTCTTCTGTTAAACTTGAGGTTTTTTAGTTTTTTTGGTTTTAATTTTTCCTCTCTAGAATTTATCTGTACTCCTACCTCAACAGGAGATACAAATTTTTGTTTCCACTGTCAGTGTCTACTTTGATATGTTATGACTTTGCCTCTTATATTCCCAACCACCCAACTGGAAAGAAGAAAAAAATAATAAAAGTGTTTCTATATTTTCTTGCCTGAAACTCATTTCTTCTTTTTCTTCCTCATTAAAATGTCTTTGTTGTTGTTTTTTTTTCTTTTCTCTCATTTTCCCTGCAAATCATTTACCCACATGGCAGCTAAAGTGAATATCTCCCAGTTATGCTTTTCCCCTTTTTTTGGAACATAACCTCAAGATTTTATTGTCTTCATAATGTAACATAATATGAAGCTTAGAACTTGATCATTTTGGCCCTTTCTCTTCTTATCTCCTCCCAGTTCAAAATGCTTGCATCTCTTAGGGGCGGCTGGGTGGCTTAGTCAGTTAAGCGTCTGACTCTTGACTTCAGCCCAGGTCATTATCTCAAGGTTCATGGTTTTGAGCCCCATGTCAGGCTCTTCACTGACAGCATGGAACCTGCTTAAGATTCTCTCTCAGTTTTTCTTACCCTCCCCTAGTGGCACACATGTGTTCTCTCCCCCCCCACCCCCTCCCGTGCCCCCCTCACTTAAAATAAATAAATAAAATTTTTAAAAAATGCTCACATCTCTTAATATTCAGCATTCTCTTAGATCTGCAGTTGGGCTCAACACATTCAGGCCTCAGCACAATCTTTGTAGTTTTAACCTTTTCCTGGAAAATTGGCTTAGTTTGCCCACTATAGCCACTCTACTTCCTGTCATAACACCACTCTCCATGGGCATAAAGAGAATCTTTGCCTTTCTTATGCTGTGTCATTTTGTGGGGTTGGGTCTTGCCATACTTCTTGCAGCAAGTCCAGCAGGTTTTCGGAACGTTCACCATGGTTGCAAGAATGCTATTGGCATGGAAAGCACTTTTCCCTTTTGTTAAAGCAAAGAGAAAGATGAAATAGATATTATGAAATGTTTATTTTCCATCTGAGTTTTAGAACATGGAAGATATGGAGATTTGTAATGTGCTTAATATGTCCCTTTGCTTCTAAATTAAATATATAAAAATATATACATAAATGTGTGTGTATATATATATATGTTTTAAGTTAATGGGGAAAACTTCCATTCAGTAATCTATAGGCATATTTAGGTCTAGATCAATAATAACAAAGAATCTGGGTTGTTCTGCTGTATATTTTCTTTGTCTTAAAAGACAAATTGTCATTCCCTTGCTTAAAAGCAAGGATGACTCTTGCAAAAAAATTCTAGGGAATACTGAAAAACTGTGATTGCTTGTAATTTGTCTGAATGTTAAATGCCTTGATTTATTTTCTAGGTATAAAATAATATCATTAGATGCTTGGCGTGTAGACATAAGCAAGAACAAAATAACCAGGGTTGACCAGAAGGCATTATATTTCTGTGGATTTCCTACTCTGAAACACATCAAACACAAAGTCAGTGGCTGTTTAGTTCAGAATTTTTTCACCTTATTGAATGTAAAGTGATTATGGAGAAAGAATTAAAATTAAACTCTCTGAATTCTTTTAAAGTTTTTTTTGAAGAAAAATGGGGTTCAAGTATTCCAACAAAGTAGTCGTGGAGAAAACATGATGTTAGAAATCTTACTGAGTGCAGAATCAGATGAACTTGTAAGTATTTTCTTTATTGTATATTATTAGGTGCTTATTATGCATAAAACTGTTCTAGCTTCAGTGTGTTTATCAAAGAGGTATAACATGTAGTAACTTCAAAAGTTCATAGTAAATAAAGAAACCTTTACCCAGATTTTAAAGAACACATGTAATTGTGATCTAATGAGCAAATAATGCTCTACAAATTTTGAAAAGGAGATAAGCTGTGTGAGTTAAGTACAGGCTTGTAGATGAGACTAGGCTTGAGCTGAGTGCTATGAGAAAGATTGCCACAGAGTGAAGAAAAGGAGGGGAAGGGTATTCCAGTTGAAAGGAATAACTTAAGCTGGAAATTGTGGTCAAAAATAAATATGTGATACATTATCATATTTTTTTAACCTTTTTGTATGTCTGAAATTTTTCTTAATACTTTTTCCTTTTTTAGAATAAATGTGATATATTTGAGGAGAAGAACTAGGTAAACCTGACTGAAGCAGAGGACTTGTGTTGGGAAATAATAGAATATAAGATTGAAAAAACAGATTGAAGCCAGATTATGGAGGACCTTGAATACTAGGCTAAAAGGAGTTTGGACTTTTTCCCCCCCATAACTGTTATCTTGAAATCGTATTCTCATAAGGATTAATTTGGTGGCAATATAATAGACTAAACTGCACAAAAGAGAAATGGAAGAAACAAAAAAGCCTGAAAGTTCAGAGGTTGTGGTTACAGAAGCGTTAGGTGTTAAGGACAAAAACTGTGGAAATAGTAATAGATCTGGGTGAACAAGACTAATAAAATTGACAAGTTTCATCATTTGTTCATATAACATAGGGGATGAAAAGAGGAAGAAAATACTAAATACGACTCTCAGATATCCAGCCTAATTAACTAGAAAATAATTGCTGTTTTCCAAATAAAGAAGTTAAAGTGGGAAGTCTCTGGTTTGAGGGGATTAATGATAAATAATGATGAAATTTTAAGGCAATGCTAAGACATTTAACTGGAGCTGCCCTGCCAGTCTTTCTCAGTAAGAGTTCTATTAAGAGATCTAAGACCGGATGCCCTAAGTCATCCATTTGAATGTGGTAGATTAACTTATCTTCTGTACATATAGAGTGGGATTAGCTGTGTACCGTTCTTGGGAGAATTGGGAAAATAGTCAAATTATGTTTTGCGTTCTATGGTTCAGGTGAAAAAACCTCAGCCCAGAAAGGCTGCAATTTAATACCTGGAGCTGGAGCTTGGAGGGAGATAAGGATATAAAGTCATCAGCAAGGAGATGATGGCTCGGGCCTTGGAGCTCATTTTCCTGAAGAAAATAGACTCTGAGGGTTTAAGATCTGAGCTTTAAGAAATACCCATAGTTATAAAGGGTGGAAAAGGGACCAGTGAAAATGATAATAACATACAGAGAGTTGAGAGAAAATGACTTCCAAGTTAAGTAATATCACAGAAATATGGAGTAGATACTACATACAGTGCAAGAAGAATAAAACAAGGTCTGTGAATTTGTCCTTCAGGCACCATTATTGGCCTTTGAGGATTTCATTCCAGTAGATTTCATTCCTAACTTCTAATCCGGGGACTAAGTAGGTGGAAATTAGACATAGCAGGTATTAGGCCCTCAGTTAAGATTATCATTGAAAGAGGTCTAGAAACATAACTGTAGGTAGAGAACAGACAGTTTAACAAGCTAAATCCATGTTAAAAGAAGACAGGTAGAGCTAATGGAGAAAGGAGGTCTTAAAGATAGTGTAGAGGGAAGGGATGTTTATGATAAGAAGACCCCATGTGAGGTATTAAGGAGTCTCATCTTGGCCTTAAGTGAAAGGATTAACCTGAGAAACTGACAACTTTTCCCTTGAAAACTAAAGGGGAGAAGTGGGAGAATGAAATAGAAATAGATGTATAGAGGAGAAAAGGATAATTAAGGGATCCTAATTTTAATGTTAAAACTTGTTTTATTTATCAGAAACCATTGTTTTGTTTTATATGTTGACATTAAGAAATGTCTGAATATAATTAAAAGTTAATGCAGAAGTCTAAAACTGGTCATCTCTAATTGTTAAACATTTGCTAATAATAATTAAGCATAATAAACAAAAGAACTGAATGAAAATGTGTAGTTAAACTTCATTTTCTACCAAAAAGTTGTTTAATAATCATAATAATAATTATAATATTTCCTTTTAAAACTAGAATTTTACCTAGCATATTATTTCATACAGAGTATTTACATAGCATTTTATAGTTTATAAAGGCTTTTGTGTATGTTATTTTATCACCAAATAAACATTGTGAGGTAGATATTATTTCTTATTCTCACAGAAGAAAACTGTGTCTCAGTGGGGTTTAAATGATTTGCCTAAGATTCTATAGCTGGAAAGAGGTGGAACGCAAATTTATACCAATGATTCCTAATTTTAAGTCTAGGGTTCTTATTTCATTATACCAACTACAGACTGAAATGAAATCAGATTTCTTAGATTCTGTTATCTGATTATATGGTATGAAACAATGAATAATAGCCCTTTTCTCATTTCTGCTGTCTTTTCACTTTTCCGTTTCCATGAGAAAATCATGGAATTATACATGATATTATTATCATGAGAATAATAGAATCATAGAATTTTACAACTATATAGAATTTTGTAAAGCATCTGTTCCAACTCATTACTTTTACAAATTAAGAAACTTAAATGGAGATTAGAAAAGGGACCATTAGCAGACCTAAGAACCTAGGTTTCTTGCTAAACATTATTTCTAGTAATGTTGGCCATTATTACGGACAGTAATACATTATAGGTCAGTGCTCTTCTGTTTAATTTCACTGAAACCTATTTTCTCACCAAGTAATTTCATTCAGGATTAAAATTAAAATTTACTAGTAACTACCATTGCTGTTGAGAAAATGAGAAGGAGACGAGCTTCCTGGTGTCATAATGTTTATAGTGCAGGAAAGTACTTTAAGTTGGTCATAGTGCCTCTCTAATAAGAAGAGATTGGTAAAGAGGAAGATAAACTTGGTCACCTTTAACAGATTCATACTAAAATAAAGGGTAAGGAAAGGCACATGGTTAAAAACAACTTAAAAATATATTTTAAAATAAAAGGAAAAAAAACTAAACAGAAATCATAGAAATGTACTAGAAAGAAAAAAAGTAGTTAGCAATAAAGGTACAACTTAGAGAAGACAAATTAAGAGAACTAATGGGAGCCACCTGGGTGGCTTAGTCGGCTAAGTGTCCAACTTTGGCTCAGGTCATGATCTCGTGGTTTGTGAGTTCGAGCCCTGCGTCGGGCTCTGTGCTGACAGCTCAGAGCCTGGAGCCTGTTTCAGGTTCTGTGTCTCCCTCTCTCTCTGCCCCTCCCCCACTCACGCTCCTCTCTGTCTCCCAATAATAAACATTTAAAAAAAATTTTTTTTTAAAAAGAGAACTAACTGAATTCAAGTAGATGGAAAAGTTGAAAAGAGCAGGAAAGGTTGAAAAGAGCATAGGGAATAAATGACACAAGTGAGTAAATGGTATTTGATACCTGTTGTAATTATTAAGTTGAGTCTTTATTGATTTTAAACATAGTTATAAATGCAAGCTAGTTTTTAATTATTTAATTTTGCCTTTGTAAAATTTTCTCCTGGACCTGAAACATGAGTGAACTTTTCTGCTTTTACTTTAAGAGTATAGAAAATATAGCTTCTTCAGTGCTTGGAAAATCTGTCTTTGTTAATTGGCCTCATCTTGAAGAAGCTAGAGTTGTTGGTGTATCAGACGGAGAAACTAAGTAAGTAAGATTTGACGTATACATTGTAGAGTTATATTTGTTTTGCTTACTTGATGGCTTTTATTGATCCTGTTTAAAACTGATATAATTATTATAAAAATATTTATACACTCTAGTGAAATTAGTCTTCTAATCACATCACTCGATGTTTAACCACAATACATCCCTGAGATATTTTAGATGCATTTATTATTTTTTCTCTTTTGCTTTCTTTTCCTTTTAATAACTTAAAAGTTCTATATCCTAATTTTTGCTAGCAGTTATTATATTATTTAGTAAATGTATTTCTCTGACAAGAATCAATAGTGTATATAACCTTACTTTTACCATGCCTCTCCCAGGTTTTATTTAAATAATACATTAGTTTTTAAAAATACAGGTCATCTATTTAAGGAGTAATTTCTTATTTTACTCGAGTTCTCAATCATTGTATCAGTGATTAGTTATTCTTTATCATTGTTTATCTTTATTTCACATAAATTTGATCTGATTGATGTTAGTTTTCATGCATCTAGAACTTTCAAAAGTAACTTTTTTTCAGAGAAAATTTTACATTTTCTGAGTTACAACATATCCAAAAGATCGTTTTTGTTTTCCTCATACTTAGGTTTAGAATTGTGGAGGCCCAATCCTTTTTCCCTTCGTTTTCTGCAAACCTACTTCAGTTGTGTTCTGTCATATAATTTTGTTGATGAGAGGTAAATGCCAGTGTGAATTTTTTTCCTCTGTAGGTATCTGCTTTTATTGAGGATATAAGAAATCTTGAGTATTCTTTTAATCATCAGAATTCAGTCCCCCTACCTTTCTGATATAGTCCAGTTTATCACTTTTTTCTTTTACCTATCATGCTTTTAGTCAGAACTCCTTACCTAGCTCTAGGTCCGAGAGATTTTCTCCTATATTTTATTCAAAAAGTTTTGCTTACTTGATAATTTTACCTCATCCTTTTACGTTTAAATATATGATCTACTGTGAATTAAGTTTTATATTTGGTATGAGGTTTAGGTCAAAGTTCATATATTTGTCTATGAATGAATGTTCTTTTTTCTTCTTCTTTCATGAAGATAGAAGTGTTCCATTTATATGGAAGCATATGGAAAGTGCCATATACTTTTTATTTTGCTTCCCAGATTTTATTTCATGTTAGTTAACATACAGTGTAGTATTCGTTTCAGGAGTAGAATTTAATGATTCAGCACTTACATGTAACACCCAGTGCTCATCCCAACAAGTGCCCTCCTTAATGCTCATCACACATTTAGCCCATTCCCCCTCCTACCCACCTCCCCTCCAGCAGTCTTCAGTTTGTTCTTTTTAGTTAACAGTCTCTTATGATTTGCCTCCCTCTGTTTTTTCATCTTATTTTTTTACTCCTTCTCTTCTCCTACAAAAGGTTTATTTGAACAAATTATAGCTGAGAACTTCCCTAATCTGGGGAAGGAAACAGGCATTCAGGTCCAAGAAGCACAGAGAACTCCCCTTTTCAGAATCAACAAAAACAGGTCATATCAGTAGTGAAACTTGGAAAATACAAAGATAAAGAGAGAATTCTGAAAGCAGCTAGGACAAAAGGTCCTTAACCTACAAGTGTAGATACATAAGGTTAGCAGCAGACCTCTCCACAGAAATAGGAATGAAGAGTCAGTTGCTCCAGCACCATTTGTTGAAAAGATGGCCTTCCTCCATTACATTGCCTTTCCACCTTTGTCAAAAATCAGTTGAGTACATTTGTGTGGGTCTACTTCTGAGTTTTCCATTTTGTTCCATTTATCTGTATGTCTGTTTTTATCCCAGTACCACACTGTCTTATTTCTGTAGCTCTATAGTAAGTCTGACCTTGGGTAAAAATCTCACAAATTATATATAGGATCTGTATGCTGAAGAAAGCAAACACTGATGAAAGAAATCAAAGATTGAAATAAATGGAGATCCATTTGGATCAGAAAACAGAACATAGTAAAGATAACAAATCTGCCCAAATTAATTTATAGGTTTAGAGCAATTCCTATCAAAATCTCTCCCAGATTTTGATAGATACAGAACAGTATATTCTAAAATTTTTATGGAAAGGCAAAGAACAAAAATATCTAAAATAACTGAGAAAAATAAAAATACAGAAAGGGGATGCCTGGGTGGCTCAGTCGCTTAAGTGTCTGACTCTTGATTTTAGCTCAAACCATGATCTCACAGTTCATGGGTTTGAGCCCCATGTTGGGTTCTGTGCTGACAGCTCAGAGCCTCCTTGGGATTCTCTCTCCCTCTCTCTATCAAAATAAATAAATAAACATTTTAAAAAATAAAGCAGAAGGAATTACTCTGCTTAAATTATTTTGGAGCTGTAAATGATTACAGCTGTAAATGATATTATATTTTAAATGTCACTTTCCCAAGGTAATATCTAGAAATACGACTGATTTCTGTACGTTGATTTTATATCCTGGGACCTGGCTAAACTAGCTTCCTTGCCTCTTTACTTGAGGAGTCCAGGTCAGTTATTTTGTAGAATTCTGAATGTACTTGATTGTCTCTTCATAGTTTCATTTAAGTTGGTCCTCCATCCCATATATTTCCTGTTAACTGGTAGTTAAGTATAGTGGTTTGATCAGAATCAAGTTAAGCTTTTTAGTAAAAATACTTTATTGCATTGGAGAGTATTTTTTAATTCTATAAAAATTTATATTTTATTAAGTATTTTTTTTTCATGTTTATTTTTGAGAGAGAACATGAGTTGGGGAGGGGTAGAGAGAGGGAGACACAGAATCCAAAGCAGGTTCTAGGCTCTGAGCTATCCACACAGAGCCTGACACAGCTCAAACTCACAAACTGCGAGATCATGACCTAAGCCGAAATCAGAGACTCAACTGACTGAGCCACCCAAGTGCCCCTGTGTTTAATCTTTTTTTTAAGAGAAAGAGTAATAATTCTTATATTTTGATTGAAAATGTTTACAAGTCCATGTCCTGAAATTTATATTACAGTTTAAAAAAAGAGGCTTGGTTTTTTGCTATTATAACCATGTAGAAACCTTTTCACTTTGAAGACTCATACTACTAGAACACTATATTAAACCACAAATTTGGGGGTAATACATTTTAATTTTATTTTAATCTTTTAAGATTTTACTTGGAAGAACCTCCAGGAACACAGAAGCTTTATTTAGGAAGAACTGCCCCGCCATCTAAAGTGGTCCATCTTGGAGACAAAGAACAATCTAACTGGACAAAAGAAGTACAAGGAATTTCAGAATAGTGAGTGTCATAAAATATATTTAATGTCGTGAAAGTAGAATGTGATTTAATGCACTTGTCCTCTGACTTATTTTCTACTTAACATAGTAATCACTCTGAATACTGACTACATCTTAATTTTATGTTCTAAAGAAAATAATGAGTTCTAGTTTAAAATAATACCTGGTTAGCAGCAGTTACAGCCTTGACCAGTTTGTCACTAAAATACTTGATGCTGTACAAAAGAAAAAAAGACAGAATCACATAATACTGGGAATAATAGTTAAGGTTGCCTGCATTTGAGACTTATTTTTACTAATCATAAGGCCATTGAATTTTTGGCCATGTGTAGTAATGAAAATAGGAAGGAAAATTGTCCTTTTTTTGTCACCCTTACTCCCTGCTCACTCTCCTACCTTTCCTACATCTAAGTCCCATATGCCCTGAATTTAGAAATGCAAGGTCTGTACCAACCAAATAACTAAGAAGCTGGCCCTCCTCCATGATCCTACCATAACAGTACTTCCCATTCTTCATCCAAATACTAGAATCCTCTAAACCAAAACAGAATAATAGAGGCTGGCAGTGGCACATGGAATGGTGTTATAAATGTATATCCATCACCCTTCCTATTAAAACTATAATAGCATTCATTGATAAATGGGGAATTTGAGGAGACGCCTCTTATACAATTTTGGAGCTAATAGGCCATAATATGCTTATTCAAAGATGCATAAACAGGGAAAATGTAAAAACATTATACAAAACCATCCCAGTGTCTATGTGCCAAATGTGGAAGCACCCAAATATATAAATCAATTAATCACAAACATAAAGAAACTCATCAATAGTAATACCATAATAGTAGGAGACTTCAACATCCCACCCACAGCAATGGATAGATCATCTAATCAAAAAATCAACAAGGAAACAATGCCTTTCAATGACACATTGGACCAGATGGACTTAACAGATATATTCAGAACATTTCATTCTAAAGCAGCAGAGTATACATTCTTCTCCAGTGCACATGGAACATTCTCCAGTATAGACCATGTACTAGGACACAAATCAGCCCTACTAAGTAAGTTCAAAAAGATCGAGATCATACCATGCATATTTTCAGACCACAATGCTATGAAACTCGAAATCAACCACAAGAAAAAATTTGTAAAGGTAACAAATACTTGGAGACTGAAAAACATCCTACTAAAGAATGTATGGGCTAACCAAGCAGTTAAAGAAATTAAAAACTGTATAGAAGTCAATGAAAATGATAGCACCACAACCCAAAACCTCTGGGACGCAGCAAAGGCGGTCATAAGAGGAAAGTATATAGCAATCCAGGCCTTCGTAAAGAAGGAAGAAAGATCTCAGATACACAACCTAACCTTACACCTTAAGGAGCTGGAAAAAGAACAGCAAATAAAACCCAAAACCAGCAGAAGACAGGAAAAAATAAAGATTAGAGCAGAAATTAATGCTATCAAAACCAAAAAAAAAAACAAAAAAAAAACAGTAGAACAGATCAATGAAACCAGAAGCTGGTTCTTTGAAAGAATTAACAAAATTGATAAACCATTAGCCAGTTTGATCAAGAAGAAAAAGGAAAGGATCCAAATAAGTAAAATCAAGAATGAAAGAGGAGAAATCACAACCAACGCAACAGAAATAAAAACAATAAGAAGAGAATATTATGAGCAATTATATGCCAATAAAATGGGCAGTCTGGAAAAATGGACAAATCCCTAGAAACATATACACTACCAAAACTGAAAGAGGAAGAAATAGAAAATTTGAACAGACTGATAACCAGTAAGGAAACTGAATTAGTAATAAAAAATCTGCCAAAAAAACGAAAGTCCAGGGCCAGATGGCTTTCCAGGGGAATTCTACCAAACATTTAAGGAAGAGTTAACACCTATTCTCTTGAAGCTGTTCCAAAAAATAGAAATGGAAGGAAAACTTCTAAACTCTTTCTATGAGCCCAGCAATTACCTTGATTCCAAAACCAGACAGAAACCCCACTAAAAAGGAGAACTATAGACCAATTTCCCTGATGAACATGGATGCAAAAATCCTCAACAAGATATTAGCCAACCGGATCCAACAATACATTAAAAAAATTATTCACCATGACCAAGTGGGATTTATACCTGGGATGCAGGGCTGGCTCAATATCCGCAAAACAATCAGTGTGATTCATCACACCAATAAAAGAAAGAACAAGAACCATATGATCCTCTCAATAGATGCAGAGAAAGCATTTGACAGAATAGAGCAGCCTTTCTTGATAAAAACCATCAAGAAAGTAGGGATAGAAGGATCATACCTCAAGATGACAAAAAGCCATATATGAGTGACCCAACGCTAGTATCATCCTCATTGGGGAAAAACTGAGAGCTTTCCCCCTAAGGTCAGGAACAAGACAGGGATGTCCACTCTCGCCACTGTTATTCAACACAGTATGGGAAGTCTTAGCCTCTGCAATCTGACAACACAAACTAATAAAAGGCATCCAAATCGGCCAGGAGGAGGTCAAACTTTCACTCCTCACAGATGACATGATACTCTATATGGAATACCCAAAAGATTCCACCAAAAAACTGCTAGAACTGATTCATGAATTCAGCAAAGTTGCAGGATATAAAATCAATGCACAAAAATTGGTTGCATTCCTATACACCAACACTGAAGCAACACAAAGAGAAATCAAGGAATTGATCGCATTTACACTTGCACAAAAAACCATAAGATACCTAGGAATAAATCTAACCAGAGAGGTGAAAAATCTATACATTGAAAACTATAGAAAGCTTATGAAAGAAATTGAAGACACACAGAAATGGAAAAAGATTCCATGCTCCTGGATAGGAAGAACAAATATTGTTAAAATGTCAATACTACCCAAAGCAATCTACATATTCAACACAATCCCTATCAAAGTAACACCAGCATTCTTCACAGAGCTAGAATAATCCTAAAATTTGTGTGGAACCAGAAAAAACCCCGAATAGCCAAAACAGTCTTGAAAAAGAAAACCAAAGCAGGAGGCATCACAATCCCAGACTTCAAGCTATACTACAAAGCTGTAATCATCAAGACAGTATGGTACTGGCACAAGAACAGACACTCAGATCAATGGAATAGAATAGAGAACCCAGAAATGGACCCACAAACGTATGGCCAACTAATCTTTGACAAAGCAGGAAACAATATCCAATAGAATAAAGACAGTCTCTTCAGCAAGTGATGCTGGGAAAACTGGACAGCGACATGCAGAAGAATGAACCTGGACCCCTATCTTACACCATACACAAAAATAAACTCAAAGTGGATGAAAGACCTCAATGTAAGACAGGAAGCCATCAAAATCCTCCAGGAGAAAGCAGGCAAAAACCTCTTTGATCTTGGCTGCAGCAATTGCATACTCAACACATCTGTGGAGGCAAGGGAAACAAAAGCAAAAATGAACTACTGGTACCTCATCAAAATAAAAACCTTCTGCACAGTGAAAGAAACAATCAGCAAAACTAAAAGGCAACTGACAGAATGGGAGAAGATATTTGCAAATGACGTATCAGATAAAGGGTTAGTATCCAAAATCTATAAAGAACTTATCAAACTCAACACCCAAAACACAAAGAATCCACTGAGGAAATGGGCAAAAGACATGAATAGACACTTCTCCAAAGAAGACATCCAGATGGCCAATTGACACATGAGAAAATGCTCAACATCACTCATCATCAGGGAAATACAAATCAAAACCACAATGAGATACCACCTCACACCTGTCAGAATGGCTAACATTAACAACTCAGGCAATTAGAGATGTTGGCAAGGATGCAGAGAAAGAGGATCTCTTTTGCATTGTTGGTGGGAATGCAAGCTGGTACAGGCCACTCTGGAAAACAGTATGGAGGTTCCTCAAAAAACTAAAACCAGAACTACCTTACGACCCAGCAATTGCACTATTAGGCATTTATCCAAGGGATACAGGTGTGCTGTTTCAAAGGGACACATGCACCCCCATGTTTATAGCAGCACTATCAACAATAGCCAAAGTACGGAAAGAGCCCAAATGTCCATCGATGGATGAATGGAGAAAGAACATGTATTATATATATACAGTGGAGTGTTACTCGTCAATCAAAAAGAATGAAATCTTGCCATTTGCAACTACGTGGATGGAACTGGAGGGTATTATGCTAAGTGAAATTAGTCAGAGAAAGACAAAAATCATATAACTTCACTCATATGAGGACTTTAAGAGACAAAACAGATGACCATAAGGGAAGGGAAACAAAAATAATATAAAAACAGGGAGGGGGACAAAACAAGAGACTCATAAATATGGAGAACAAACTGAGGGTTGCTGGAGGGGTTGTGGGAGGGGGAATGGGCTAAATGGGTAAAGGGCATTAAGGAATCTACTCCTGAAATTATTGCTTCACTATATACTAACTAATTTGGATGTAAATTTAAAAAATAAAAAATAGAGTTAAATTACAAACAAAACAAAACAAAACAAAACAAAACAAAAACATCCCAGTGTCAAAGAAGGAGATAGCTCTCAGGAGGTAGAGTGTATTTTTGCCTTCTCACAGTAATTAGATACTCCTGTCTTGGTTGATAATATACTGAATTTTGTTTTACAGTGCATAAATCACAATAATAAACTTATTTGTGTGATTAAGGACTTTTTCCTGAGATATTATGCTAAGGGTAGGGAACATATCTATTTTTTCATTACTATTCTCATTCCTTGACTAATGCACTAGGCAGTCAATAAATGTTAGTTTGAATGAATAGAGATTGCTTTGTTCAACTCCTTTGTTTGAAAAGAAAGTCATTCAAAATACTGTAAGAGTTTAGATATTTGTTTATGTACTCAACAATTATTTATTGATACCTACGAGGTATAGAAATTAGGAACTGCAGATACCGTAGTGAATAAAATCACAGTCCCTATACTCATGAAACTTATGGCTCACAGATGAAAGATAGACATTAATGTCTTGTGTAAATTTTTGATCAAACTGCAATTGTGATACTTGCTTTGAAGGAGTAGTACTCTGAGACTACATAATAGAGGAGTTTGACCTAGTAAGGAGACATTTGTCTTAGAGAAAACTTTCCTAAGGAAAATATTGATTAAACTAGTATCTGAATGTAGGAGGGTAGGAGTTAGGCAAAGAATGAAAAGGGAGTAGGTTTCAAGATGAGGTAAAATGTACATACAAAGTCCCTGTGCCAGGAGAAAAAGTAGCATATATAACATTAATGATAATGGCCAATGTGGCTGGAGTGTTAGAATTAAGAAGGAACCCTAAATGAGGAAGATGAGGCAACAAACGAAAAAGAACGAGGCATTCTGAGAGGTGGGAAACAGCCAGGAAAGTGTTATATCATGAAAATCAAAGAAAAAAGAGTGTTTCAAGAATAAGGGAGTAAGCCATGTCAGATGTTATAAAGAAGATAAAGTAAGACCTATTTTTTTTGGTTGTGGGGGAACCTGGGTGGCTCAGTTGGTTAATCATCCAACTTCAGCTCAGGCCATGATCTCATGTTTCCTGAGTTCGAGCCCTGCATCGGGCTCTCTGCTGTCAGCACGGAACCTACTTCGGGTCCTCTGTCTCCCTCGCCCTGTGCCCCTTCTCCACTTGTTCTCTCTCTCTCAAAAATAAACAAACTTTTTAAAACTCTTTTCATAAAACTTTTTTTAAAATTTATATTCAAATTAATGTACAGTGTAGTCTTGGCTTCAGGAGTAGAACCCACTGATTCATCTCTTACATATGACACCCACTGCTCATCCTGAAAAGTGCCCCCTTAATGAAGTAAAAGCTATTTTGATTGAGCAGTGGGGCTGTAAGCCAGACTAGTATGGGTGAGGAATGATTGATAGTAACAGAAATGGAGATATAATGGGAGTAAATAAACACCTCCAAAAACTTTATTTGTGAAGTAAACCAAAAGCTCTTGACCCCTTGTTCTACCTGTTCTTTTCCATATGGATGGACTTGATCTTCTGTGATGGCAGCAAAGAGCAGAAAGAACAATCAAGGCAACAGACCACTGAAGTTGATGGCAATTGGATGCTGGTTCACACAAGAGAATAATTTTTAGTCCCTGCCAGTTCAGGATCTTTTGTTAACCAAGTAGGGTAGATAAGGCTATGTGGATTCATAAGCCCTTAGGTTTATCTATTCTGGTCACCATTTTCTTAGACTGCTTTTCTTTACTACCATATTCCTCCCTCATATCACCTCACATTTTGTCCCCTCCTCCCAAACATCCCAAAGTCTTCTATAATCTGTCTTCTAAGGTGAAATTCATAAGCCCACTCATACTCTGCTCTTGAGGGTTTACTTCACTTACTTGTAAGTTTGCACGTTATATCAGCATGAAAATCTCATGGCTCTAACGATTAGTAGTAACGTTTATACAGACTATCCCTAAGACTTATACAACAAGAATATAGAACCTATCATTTATTTCAGTTATAGCTCCATATATCCAAGACATGTTCTCCTAAATTCAGTACATCCCTTTTTTGTGAACATAACACATGAAATACTTCCATGAGTACCGAAATACATGATTTCATTTTTAGAAACTTTCTAAGTACATATGACATGACTAAAACATTTCTGTATTTTTGTGTAACACATGTCCTTTCTAATGAAAACTACCATTAAGACAGATCTGAAGAAGGATATAGAATTGAGTGGACTTGGTTTTTGGTTGATTCAGAGAGGTAGGATTATGTGTAAAAATAAATGAGAAGAGAGGTGCAATTCAAAAGAAAGAAAACAATGTATTTGATGATGGAACAAAATAGGTTCTTAAAAAGGCTAAAAGATAGCTCCTCTATTGTAACAGTGTAGTATACAACTATAGGTTGGTTTGTGTTTGGCATGGGGGCAGATGAGGAGCTCTCATTGGATGCCCCCTGTTTTCTTTGTAAAGTAAATGTTGAATTCAGCTACTGAGGACAGAGGCAGGGAAAGGGAGGTTGGTCTTAGTTTGAAAATAGTCCTTGGGGAAAATGGAAGAGTATCAGTTGATCAAAAAAATGTGGTTGAATTATAAGGCAATATTGAGGGCCCATTTTGAAGTTCAGTGTCATGAATTTGTAATATAACAGTCCACCCTGTCTTTTGGTATTAGAGCTCAGCTGATCAGTAACCGGCTTAGAAAAACCAGCCTTGGATTTTGCCAGATGGATACAATGAAAAGCCAAAGAGGCAAGGAAGTTTAGGATGTTAGTAGGAATATTACTGAAATAGTGGACAATGGAATCTAAGTGGGATAGAAAGAGAAGTGAAGAAAGTAGAAGATTAATAGTTTGAAAGTAGAAGGATCAGTGGATTGGAGATCCCAAATTAAGATAATCATAAACAAAAGTAGCTGAACAAGCAAGTTGGATGGACAACTTTTTAGACAACAAAATATTGGGATTAATGATTTTGGAGGTGAAACCATTATGGATGATGTCATGACCCAAGTCACAGCTGTGGGAGTAGATGGCTGAACTAGAATGGAAGAGAAGTTTATTGGAGATAGGGAGATTGTGAAACAGTGTCTGTGGTATTGGGTAGATTATTATGTAAACATTGAAGGCACTTTGGATAATGGTAGACATAAGGGTAGAATGGAAGAGTAGGGTAGTTTACTATGAAGGATGTCACAGTGGGAACACCAACCCTCTCTCCTAGTCCATACACAGTATGAAAACAAATAGCTACTACTACTGGAGAGAGATAACAGAGGGAACTGATGATACCTTCAATTAAAGAGGTAGATATTGAGGATATAATGGAGTGACAAGGATTAGGAATTGGAGAAGGACAGAAGACTGGAAGAAAAGAACAAGGACATTCTTTATGGAATGCTATGGAGAAGATGATGTACTTGGAAGATTTGCAGAAGAGTTCCAAAACCTTGTACCTCAAACAAGCAAGAGATGAATCAACAAAAAAAAAGTGGTGTTACCAAAGGATTGGTGATAAACAACAATTATTAATAAGTTATTAAAAATATAGAACTAATTTTTAAGTACTACCATTTTACATAAGAGAAAGTTAAAAGATAGTTTTGTTGGGGCACCTGGGTGGCTCAGTAGGTTAAGCATCTGACTTCTGCTCAGGTCATGATCTCACAGTTTGTGAGCTTAAACCCTGCATCAAGTGAACTCAAGCCCCGCTTCGGGTGAGTCCAAGCCCCTTTTCAGTCAGCGTGGAGCCTTTGTGGGATTCTCTCTCTCCTTCTCTCTCTGCCCCTTGCTCAATCACGCCCTCTCTCTCAAAAAAAAAAAAAAAAAAGTTTTGTTTATAACTTAGAAGAGATATATTAAGTATTTTTAAAAATTTTAATGGCCCACTATCACTTACCTTAACCCTCAGGACCTGAACTAGAGAGACGAGCCCCGAAACATCTGGCTTTAAATAACAACGGGGCTTATATCCAGGAGAAACATAGAGCTGTAGGAAATGGAGATTCTCCTCTTTTTTTTTTTTTTAATGTTTATTTATTTTCAAGGGAAGGAAAGAATATGAGTGGGGAGGGACAGAGAGAGAGGGAGACACAGAATTTGAATCAGGCTCCAGGCTCTGAGCTGTCAGCACAGAGGCCAATGTGGAGCTCAAACCCATAAGCTGTGAGATCATGACCTGAGTCAAAATCAGACGCTTAACCTACCTAGCCATCCGGTGCTCCTGAGATTCTCCTCTTAAAGAGCTCGTACACAGACTCACTTATCCCAGGACCCAGGTAGGGTAAAAGCAGCAGTTTGAAAATCTAGACCATATGGGAAGAAAATTCATTTGCTGACAACCTTAAGGTAATTGTTGGGAGGACAGAGGCCTGTTGGGATTCTCTCTAGGGACTGAGGCATTGAATTGACAGGTGCCATTTTTACGTTCTTCCTCTACCCTACTAGTACCAAAGCTAACAGATGCCATTTTTGTATCTCCCTGTGTAGTAATACTAACACTAATACAATGCTGTATGTCAATTACACTTCAATTAAAAAACAAAGAGACGCGCCTGGGTGGCTCAATTGGTTAAGCCTCCAACTTTGGCTCAGGTCATGATCTCGCGGTTCATGAATTTGAGCCCTACATCAGGCTCTGCGCTCACAGCTCAGAGCCTGGAGCCTGCTTCAGATTATGTGTCTCCCTCTCTCTCTGTGCCCCTCCCCTGCTTGTGTTCTCTCTCTCCCTCTCTAAAATAAATAAACACCTAAAAAACATTCTGTAAAAATAAAAAAAAATAGGGGTGCCTGGGTGGCTCAGTCGATTGAGTGACCGACTTCGGCTCAGGTCATGATCTCATGGTTTGTGAGTTCAAGCCTCGCGTCGGGCTCTCTGCTGCCAGCTCAGAGCCTGGAGCCTGCTTCTGATTCTGTCTCCCTCTCTCTCTGACCCTCCCCCACTCATGCTGTGTCTCTCTCTGCCTCAGAAATAAACATTAAAAAAAAATTAAAATAAATAAAAATAATAATAATAAAATAATAATAAATAATAATAATAAAAGAACACAGACTAGGGGTGCCTGGCTTGTTCAATGAGTAGAGCATGCAGCTCTTGATCTCAGGGTCATGAGTTCAAGCCCCACGTTGGGGGTAGAGTTTACTTAAAAATAAAAATTTAAAAAAAAAATTCAGGTGTTAAAAAAATATATATGGACTACAAAACTGACCCAAAAGCAATAGAAGTGTAAAGTAAAAGGAAAATAGAAAGAAAATCTCCCTACCACTTGAAAATTTAAAGATATTGTTCTGAATTACTATTTGGGTTTTTTTTTCTAATAGAAAGTTTTTATCAAAGTATATATACATACATAGAAAAGAACATATGCAAATCATAAGTGTATAAACTTGGTAAGTTTTCACACGCATGAACAGAATACAAGTCACAAAATAGAACCAACAGAAAAGTTGCCATAATCCCACAAAGTCCCTTAAACCCTCTTCCAGCCATTAACATTCACTTCTCTCTTCCAAATGTAACTATTTTGATTTATAACCCTAGAGATTAGTTTTTCCTATTTTTGAACTTTGTATGAATCACACAGAATGTATTCTTTTTTAACCTGACCTCTTTGGCTCAATACTGTGATTCTCATATTCATCTGTGTTGTTATGTATCGTTTAGTTCATTCATTTTGACTAATGATTAAATTATGTTGTATGAATATAGGATAATTTATTTCTCCATTCTATTGTAGACAGACAATTGAGTTGTTTCTGGTTTGGGGTTTTTGGTGAATACGTATGTATGCATTACTGTTAGGTACATATCTAAGAGTGGAATTATTGCTTCATAGGATAATGCTTAAGCTCAGCTTTAGTAGATAACACCAAAAAGATTTGTAAAGTGATTATATTGGGGCGCCTGGGTGGCTCATTCAGTTAAGTGTCCAACACTTGGTTTCAGCTCAAGTCATGATCTCATGGTTTGTAGGATCAAGCCCCACATGGGGCTCTATGCTATCAGCGCTGATAGCGCAGAGCCTGCTTGGGATTCTCTCTCTCCCTGCCCCTCCCCTGATCATGTCTGTGCACACACTATCAAAATAAATAAATTTAAAAATAATTTTTTTTTTTAAGTGATTGTATTGGGGCAGCTGGGTGGCTCAGTCAGTTAAGCGCTGACTTCAGCTCCGGTCATGATCTCGTGGTTTGTGAGTTTGAGCCCCTCATCCGGCTCTCCAGCTTGGAGCCTGGAGCCTGCTTCGGATTCTGTGTCTCCCTCTCTCTCTTTCCCTTCCCCACTCATGCTCTGTCTCTCTCTCTCTGTCTCTCTCTCTCTCTCTCTCTCTCTTTCTGTCTCTCTGTCTCTCAAAAATACAATAAACATTAAAAAAAATAAATAATAAAGTGATTGTATCAATTTACATTCTTCCAGCAATTTATAAGAATATCTTTTATCTCTGCTGTCACCAATACTTATTAGTGTCTCTTCCATTTTAGCCATTCTAATACAGTGATATTTCATTTTGGTTTAATTTGCATTTCCTTGATGGCTGTTTCATATTTGCCAGCCATTTGAATGTGCTCTTTTGGGCAATGCTTGTTCACATTTTTTTTTTAATATGTATTTTATTTTTCAGAGAGAGAGAGAGAGAGAGAACATGAATGGGGGAGGGATAAAGAGAGAGAGAGAGGGACCAAGGATCTGAAGCAGGCTGTGTGCTGACAGCAGATAGCCCAATGGCAGGGCTTGAACTCACAAACTTTGGGATCGTGACCTGACCCAAAGTTGGACGCTTAACCAACTGAGCCACCCAGGTGCCCCCTGTTCAGATATTTTGCCCTTTTTTGTGACTGATTTGATTACCTTTCTCATATTTGTAATTTTTGTTATAAATTTGTGGTATTATTCTCAATTTCAGGGAAAAGCCTTAAACAATTCACTGTTAAATATGATGGTTGCTGTAGAGGCTTTTTTAAATCAATATTCTTTATCCGATTAAGGAAATTTCCTTCTGTTACTAGTTAGTTGAAAGTTTATATCATTAATTGATAGTGATTTTGTCAGTTTTTTTTTTCCTGCATCTATCAAAATGATCATATGATTTTTAAAATTGTAATCTGGTGAATTACATTGATTGAATTTTTGTTTAATTTTTTTTAATGTTTATTTTTTAAAAGAGACAACGTGAACCAGGAGAGGGACAGAGAGAGTGGGAGGCACAGAATCTGAAGCA